TTGCAGGTATTTTAGTCGGCATAATCTATTTTAGCACTAAATTTTCACCGGTAAAACCTATAGCAATTTGTCCGACTGCTTGCTAGACATAAAAACAATAACTTGTTCTTCGGTTTATTTCTATATAGTATTAAACTTAGATATGGAATGTACTCCTTAAAGCAGGGGAACATTTAGAATATATATTTTTGTATACGATGCGAGAGTCTTCTCAGTCTAATCGATACCTATAGGAAGAAAGAGGCATTTCCACGACTCCTTCCTTCTTTTGGTGCCGATTATTTATATATATATATATATATAACCTATACACTATATTATTTTTCTTCTTCCATTGATTCGCTTTTGCCCCTTCATTTCACTCTCTTGCATCCCAAGAAGACGTCCTTATGCGACTGTTAATGTGTGGTTTAAAAGGCAACCACTGGCCCTTAGCCTATGCGATCACATCGGGTTGCATGAAAAAAAGAAATGAGGTGCAAAAATCGGTCTACTTCGTCGTCATTCGAACTATCAGGATCTACCATATTGTTTGAAAAGCGGTGCAAATTTGGTCCCTGATATCTATGATAAAAACAACTGTCTCGTTTAACATACCCTTCATATTGCTTCATGTCGGATGATCATTTAATAAGGACATTTTGTTGATCATTTATTTGGTGATTATAATATGTTTATTCGACGTTATTTTAATTTATCCTACATTCTGTCTATGAGCAATTTCTCTCGTTATTTAACACAGACACATTTTATAGGTTACAGAGTAATTCGATCCGCAGACTGATTGGTCTTTATATACCAGCTCTAGTGTTTTCCTTTTATGCTTGATTAGTAGCCAATGTTTTTATTTAAGCCATCTTTGATCCTAAACATATTCAAATACATCTTTATAATAGACTGAACTTGCTCGTGTAGCTCTGGCCAATTTATTGGGGGGTATCGGCTTCTTCTACGGCTCTTCACTTGTGCAATCGCCCGAGTCTGGACCAACTCCAATTGAATATTGGCCTGCGCCCCTCTTCACCGCAACTCCCTCTAGACCACAGTTTCCTCGTGGCTTCCTTTGGGACGAAGGATTCCATGGTCTCGTATTGGTCAGGTGGAATATTTACCTGGCCCTCGAGACTTTTGGGCATTGGTTGGACCTTATGAATATTGAAGGCTGGATTCCTAGGGAACAAATACTTGGCTGGGAGGCAAGAGCCCGAGTTCCGGAGAGATTCATCGTGCAATCCAATTCTGTGGCCAATCCACCAGCCCTGGTTCTTGCAATTGAGGTAATTCAGTTATATCTTCCTAATTTTCACTCATTCGTACTTCAGATACCTATTAAGCATTATTTTTTTTATTGTTTTACTCCTTGACCCTTTTTACACGAGCTTATAATTTCTTACAGACAGTGCCACACTTACTTCC